CTTTCTGAATAAATAGAATTATGCATAAAAATAAGAATTTTATAAAAAATACACATTTTTCTTTAATGAAATTACAAACAATTGCAATTCAGCTAGCTGAATAACACAATTAATTGAGGCTTTACGTAAATAATTGTATTTGGTTATAGAAAAATCCTTTAAATTACAATTCAGCTAGTTGAATTCCACAGTTTTATATGCAAAATTACTTTTTATTACAAAAATCCTAAAAATATATTTAAATTTTATAATTCAGCTAGCTGAATAACTAAATCATTTAAGATAATACAAAAGTGACTACAGAATACTGCTTTTAAGCCTAAAATGTTAGAAGTCAGCTAGCTGAATAACACATTTTTATATATAAAACAAAGTTTTTGTGAAAAAATCTGTTTTACATGATTAAAATTGACAATTCAGCTAGCTGAATTAAGATGATTTCCAATTAAAGTTGAAATTTTTAATAAAAATATGAGAAACTTTATTATAGTAGCAAAATATCACCATTCAGCTAGCTGAATAGCTAAAATTTTTCATAAAGTTAGAAAATATTTTTCTAATTTTTTAAAAAATTATAAATGGTGCAATTCAGCTAGCTGAATAGCGTTTTTCTTAAGGTTCCATTATCATAAATAGTTCATTATTACAAAATTTTTATGTTTTCTTTTAAGAATTATTAATATTTAATTGAATTTTGTGGTTTAAACACTTCTTGGAAATAACCCAAACTAAACACCTTGTCTAATCTCTTTCAAATAATAAACTAACAGTATTACGTTACACCTCTATACACATAATTAAATCTAATTTCTTTTGATACATTTTTTTGTTTATTTAAGAAATTGTGTTAAAAATCTTCTATCATTCTCTGCTGTAAAAACAACTTAAAAATCTAAGACAAATGGTATTAAAATAATAAAAAGAAATGGAATTATTGTAATTGTAAATATTGTATTTAAAATACAATTAAATAAATCACAGGATTCGCAAAGGATGAGCTGAAAAATGTAATGAAATTTAAATACAATATACAATATACATATTTTTTTTGCAATTCGTACAATGTTGCAGCATGATCGTTAAGTTAAACATGTCAAACTTAAACAATGGAAATTATTTCCACTTTGTCACCTTTTTGCAAAAAGGAAATCATAACACATACAATTTTACTCTAGCAAAGGACTCGTTTGCTCGCACCTTAACTGCTAGTGCATGTTTAAATGTCTGGGCAAATACGTTTGTTATTTTTGGGTTTTTACACACTCACACTTTTTTCTTTGCTTTTTTTTTTTGCAAAAAGGAGTTTTTGTTTATTTATTTGTTCGTGTTTGCCAAACCAAATAACACATGTGAGTGAAATCGTTTGGAAAATACCGCAACAACATGATATTTATGTTGAGATTTCCAAAATTTTTCACAATTTTCCCAATAGGTTTAAACACAAAGTCTTCTTTCTGCTTTTCACACTATGTCTGGTCTTGTCGGCTGTGCCGTACTGTTTGTATGGTTTGTCCATGTAATTGGGTTTTGTTTCTAATCATCGTTTTTACCTTCGGATAATCTCAGCTAATACTGTTTGTTGCCAATAATACAATTTAAATGTATTTAAAATAATATTGTATTTAGTATTTACATGTGTTTGTCAGGATGTGTGTGTGCGAGAGAGAGTTTCCTTTTATGGGATTTAAATAATTGAAAATCAATTTAGCAAAAGATTATTTAATATTGCTTAAATGAAACACTTGTTATAAAGAATTTTTAAAATAAATAGAGAATTTTGAAATATTCAAAAAATTTATTGAAATTGTAAAAAAATAAAATTTTTAAAATACCCGACGGCATTTAATTTGAACTTTTCACAGCAGCCAAATTTTATCTTGCATTCATCTGAACTAGAACAAAACTAGAAAAGAACTAGAACAGAACTAGAACAGATCTAGAACAGAACTAGAACAGAAATAGAACAGAACTAGAACAGAACTAGAACTAGAACAGAACTAGAACAGAACTAGAACAGAACTAGAACAAGAGAACAGAACAGAACTAGAACAGAACTAGAACAGAACTAGAACAGAACAGAACTAGAACAGAACTAGAACAGAACTAGAACAGAACTAGAACAGAACTAGAACAGAACTAGAACAGAAATAGAACAGAACTAGAACAGAACTAGAACAGAACAGAACTAGAACAGAACTAGAACAAAACTAGAACAGAACTAGAACAGAACTAGAACAGAACTAGAACAGAACTAGAACAGAACTAGAACAGAACTAGAACAGAACTAGAACAGAACTAGAACAGAACTAGAACAGAACTAGAACAGAACTAGAACAGAACTAGAACAGAACTAGAACAGAACTAGAACAGAACTAGAACAGAACTAGAACAGAACTAGAACAGAACTAGAACAGAACTAGAACAGAACTAGAACAGAACTAGAACAGAACTAGAACAGAACTAGAACAGAACTAGAACAGAACTAGAACAGAACTAGAACAGAACTAGAACTAGAACAGAACTAGAACAGAACTAGAACAGAACTAGAACAGAACTAGAACAGAACTAGAACAGAAATAGAACAGAACTAGAACAGAACTAGAACAGAACTAGACTAGAACAGAACTAGAACAAAACTAGAACAGAACTAGAACAGAACTAGAACAGAACTAGAACAGAACTAGAACAGAACTAGAACAGAACTAGAACAGAACTAGAACAGAACTAGAACAGAACTAGAACAGAACTACTAGAACAGAACTAGAACAGAACTAGAACAGAACTAGAACAGAACTAGAACAGAACTAGAACAGAACTAGAACAGAACTAGAACAGAACTAGAACAGACTAGAACAGAACAGAACTAAACAGAACTAGAACAGAACTAGAACAGAACTAGAACAGAACTAGAACAGAACTAGAACAGAACTAGAACAGAACTAGAACAGAACTAGAACAGAACTAGAACAGAACTAGAACTGAACTAGAACACTAGAACTAGAACTAGAACTAGAACAGAACTAGAACTAGAACAGGACTACAACAGAACTAGAACAGGACTAGAACAGAACTAGAACATTAGAACAGAACTAGATCAAACTAAACAGAACTAGAACAGAACCAGAACTAGAACAGTCTAGAACAGAACTAGAACAGAACTAGAACAGAACTAGAACAGAACTAGAACAGAACTAGAACAGAACTAGAACAGAACTAGAACAGAACTAGAACAGAACTAGAACAGAACTAGAACAGAACTAGAACAGAACTAGAACAGAACTAGAACAGAACTAGAACAGAACTAGAACAGAACTAGAACAGAACTAGAACAGAACTAGAACAGAACTAGAACAGAACTAGAACAGAACTAGAACAGAACAGAACGAACTAGAACAGAACTAGAACAGAACTAGAACAGAACTAGAACAGAACTAGAACAGAACTAGAACAGAACTAGAACAGAACTAGAACAGAACTAGAACAAACTAGAACAGAACTAGAACAGAACTAGAACAGAACTAGAACAGAACTAGAACAGAACTAGAACAGAACTAGAACAGAACTAGAACAGAACTAGAACAGAACTAGAACAGAACTAGACAAACGAACTAGAACAGAACTAGAACAGAACTAGAACAGAACTAGAACAGAACTAGAACAGAACTAGAACAGAACTAGAACAGAACTAGAACAAACTAGAACAGAACTAGCAGAACTAGAACAGAACTAAACAGAACTAGAACAGAACTAGAACAGAACTAGAACAGAACTAGAACAGAACTAGAACAGAACTAGAACAGAACTAGAACAGAACTAGAACAGAACTAGAACAGAACTAGAACACAACTAGAACACAACTAGAACAACTAGAACACAACTAGAACAGAACTAGAACAGAACTAGAACAGAACTAGAACAGAACTAGAACAGAACTAGAACAGAACTAGAACAGACTACACAGAACTAGAACAGACTAGAACAGAACTAGAACAGAATAGAACAGAACTAGATCAAACTAAACAGAACTAGAACAGAACCAAACTAGAACAGTACTAGAACAGAACTAGAACAGAACTAGAACAGAACTAGAACAGAACTAGAACAGAACTAGAACAGAACTAGAACAGAACTAGAACAGAACTAGAACAGAACTAGAACAGAACTAGAACAGAACTAGAACAGAACTAGAACAGAACTAGAACAGAACTAGAACAGAACTAGAACAGAACTAGAACAGAACTAGAACAGAACTAGAACAGAACTAGAACAGAACTAGAACAAACTAGAACAGACTAGAACAGAACTAGAACAGAACTAGAACAGAACTAGAACAGAACAGAACTAGAACAGGACTAGAACAGAACTAGAACTGATGTATATGCTTCTACTGGTCTAAAGCTGATTTGCAATTGATCTTAAACTGATCTACAACAGAAGTACGTAGTACTAAACTAGACTTGAACTAGAACTGTAACTGTTTTGCAGCTGATCTACATCTGGACTAGCACTGTAGCAGAGCTTAACTATATCAGAACCAGAACTAAACATCAACTAATATACAACTGATCTATAACTCATCCACAACTGATTTATTATTGAAATAGAACTGAATTTAAATGGATTTGTGGAAACATTTTCAATTTGATAAGCGAAATAAAAAAGTTTTTTCCGTCGGGCTGTTACAAATTTATTGTTTCATATTTATTAAACCAAAAAACATTTGTAATCCTTTATTTATTTGTGTTCAAATTATGACACTCAATAGAAAAAGGGTTAAAATATTACAGCTGTTTATAAAAAAAATTTAACTACATAATTTCTATTGTTCACAATAACAAAACAAGAAATTATTATTATTTTTTCTTCTGATTTAAAAATGTCATAACAAAAATATTACTTTTCGAATAAAGAAAGTTACAAAACCGCGTTATTATTGTTTCGAAATTTTTGTTGTAAAAAAAGGACATTAATGAAAGGGATTTTTGTTTTGGTCTACTTACTCATAACCATGTTTATATTCATAATCCTGTTGCATATAATAATCCTGTTGATAAATATTATTGGTTGAGGCAGTCATGGCTGAGGGGTTTGTGGTGGCATAATAGCCGGAACCATAATCCTCATAATAACCACAATTTGGATTATAATTGGTCATATTTTCTATTTTCTTACTATTAACTAATAACACACTTTTGCTTTTAATTTTTTTTTTTAAATTGAAATAAATTTAAAAGAAATTATTTTTATTAAATAATAATTTCCAAATTATTTACTTTTTTTTTTCTTTATAAAAAAATTTAATATTTAATAGCTTTTTGATCTTTACTTTTCTTTGCAATCGAAAGAAAATTGATTTTTAATCCTTTATTTTTAAATTATAAACACATTAATGATTTCGATTTTTTTTTCGAAACTTAATTATTTGTTTATTATTTTATTAAATGAATTGAAGTATGTATGTTATTATTATTATTTTTTTTTTTCGTAAAACACTTTTGCAATGTTGCTGAAGACTCTGCTGAGTGGTGGTCATAAAAATTTTCAATAACTCCAATAAATTCCATAAAAAAATTGAATGATTTTTTTTTTCTTTGATTTCTTTTATATTTTTTCAAAATTAAGACACTTGAATCTAAATTACTGTTAATCACTTCGTACTATATACAATTTCCAATTGCTCTTCAGTTAGTGTTAGAAACACTAAACATTTGATTAATATTTTTTTTTTCTTTTCAAGTAGATGCGTAAATCCCGTTTGATTTTGATTTAGATCGCGTAAACCAAAATTGGTGCGATTTTTTTTGTGGTTTAACCGTTGACACGTCTAAAGTGGGCGCTACGAATTTTTACTTTAAAAGCCTGCAATCACTTATTAAAGTCAAAAAGGTATTAAAAGTGTGAACAGAAATCATATATTTTATTTTATTTGTTTTTATTTTTTTATTTGAGCTACGAGTACTGTTTTTTATAAAAAAAAATATATTGAACAACTACTGATATAGTTGGTGTATTTATTGCTAGAGTGCTCCCTCCCCAAAACAGTGGTTATATCAAAATTGTTAGATAAGGGGAAAAGTATTTTCTGATTGCATGAAGCTGTTAAGATCAAACAAACAGAACTTGAACATAACTAGAACATAACAAAAACAGAACTAGAACAGAACTAGAAAAAACTAGAACAGAACTAGAACAGAACTAGAACAGAACTAAAACAGAACTAGAACAGAACTAGAACAGAACTAGAACGGAACTAGAACAGAACTAGAACAGAACTAGAACAGAACTAGAACAGAACTAGAACAGAACTAGAACAGAACTAGAACAGAACTAGAACAGAACTAGAACAGAACTAGAACAGAACTAGAACATAACTAGAACAGAACTAGAACAGAACTAGAACAGAACTAGAACAGAACTTGAACATAACTAGAATAGAACTAGAAAGAAAACTAGAAAAGAACTAGAAAAGAACTAGAACAGAACTAGAACAGAACTAGAACAGAACTAGAAAAGAACTAGAACAGAACTAGAACAGAACTAGAACAGAACTAGAACAGAACTAGAACAGAACTAGAACAGAACTAGAACAGAACTAGAACAGAACTAGAACAGAACTAGAACAGAACTAGAACAGAACTAGAACAGCACTAGAACAGAACTAGAACAGAACTAGAACAGAACTAGAACAGAACTAGAACAGAACTAGAACAGAACTAGAACTGAACTAGAACTGAACTAGAACAGAACTAGAACAGAACTAGAACAGAACTAGAACAGAACTAGAACAGAACTAGAACAGAACTAGAACAGAACTAGAATAGAACTAGAACAGAACTAGAACAGAACTAGGACAGAACTAGAACAGAACTAGAACTGAACTAGAACAGAACTAGAACAGAACTAGAACAGAACTAGAACAGAACTAGAACAGAACTAGAACAGAACTAGAACGGAACTAGAACAGAACTAGAACAGAACTAGAACAGAACTAGAACAGAACTAGAACAGAACTAGAACAGAACTAGAACAGAACTAGAACAGAACTAGAACAGCAGAACTAGAACAGCAGAACTAGATCAGCAGAACTAGAACAGCAGAACTAGAACAGCAGAACCAGAACAGCAGAACTAGAACAGCAGAACTAGAACAGCAGAACTGGAACAGCAGAACTAGAACAGCAGAACTAGAACAGCAGAACTAGAACAGCAGAACTAGAACAGCAGAACTAGAACAGCAGAACTAGAACAGCAGAACTAGAACAGCAGAACTAGAACAGCAGGACTAGAACAGCAGAACTAGAACAGCAGAACTAGAACAGCAGAACTAGAACAGCAGAACTAGAACAGCAGAACTAGAACAGCAGGACTAGAACAGAAGGACTAGAACAGCAGAACTAGAACAGCAGAACTAGAACAGCAGAACTAGAACAGCAGAACTAGAACAGCTGAACTAGAACAGCAGAACTAGAACAGCTGAACTAGAACAGCAGAACTAGAACAGCAGAACTAGAACAGCAGAACTAGAGCAGCAGAACTAGAACAGCAAAACTAGAATAGCAAATCTAGAACAACAGAACTAGAACAGCACAACTAGAACAGCAGAACTAGAACAGCAGAACTAGAAAACAGCTATGACACAACTAGAACAGATCAGAGTGGCGAGGGTTAAAGTTAAATAGAGGATGTTGCTGATGGGATTAGATTAGGTCGAAGGAGAGAAGTTTAAAATTGAGTAAAGAAGGTGACAGTATTTGGAGCCGAGTTGCCCTGGTTGGAGAATATTCGATTATTTCGAATTAGATTCGGTTGGAGTAGATCGAAGTAGAAAAGGCTGATGTTGAGTAAAGATGGAGAGTTGAGTAAATCGGTGAGTTGAGTAAATCGGTTAAGATTAGATTGAAGTGGATTTTATCGGAAGATCTGAGCACAGAAGATTGTTTGCATAAGATCGTAGTAGAACAAGTTGATGTTGGATTGCAGTAGAGTATATTCGAGCGGATTCGGTATGAGAAGAGTAAATTACATATATTAAAGTAGATCTGATTAAAGGTGCTAAAGGTAGATTTGATCGTAGTAAAGAAGTTGTATCTAGGGAAGATCATAGTAGAGGAGGTTGGTGGTTGAAGTAAATAAAAGTTGAGTGATGTGAAGAAGAACGAAGCAGGAAAGGTTGAAGTTGGAATAGACTTCATCCAAGTTGAGTAGATTGCAGTGGAGCAAAGGATGTTGCTGTGGATAATAAAGAAGGTTGCGCTAGTTAGGAGTAGAGAAGGTTGAGACAGAATAGTAATTTAGAGCAGATATGATAAAAATCTTATGAAATAGAGTGGATTTGAAAACCACTTTAACTCTTGCCTTTCCCCAATATTTCTCTATATATGTCTCACATATCTGCATGTTAGTGTTGTTGTATTTCTGTTCAGTGTAGGTTTGTGTCGAGTGTATATTTTCAATATTTATCGATATCTCTGTCATTTTCAGAGATAGCAAACTTTTTTTTTTTTTACTAATATTTACATTTGTTTATGTGTGTTATTGTCGTTGTTTGTTTCCTTTACAGCAGAGTGTTGGTGTTGCAATTGTTGTAATATTAATAAGTATATTGTAGTTGTATTACTTAAACCAAAAGTTTCAGTTAGTATTGGTAGCATTTTGTTTTTTTTTTATATTTTATTCTTCTGTTATTTTTATTATTATATTGAAATTATCATTTGGAGCAGAGAAAGGGACTAACGACGAATGGATTGATTGTCAGCGAGTGTATTTGAAGAATTTATGATCATGGGTTGTAAATTTAAAGTACGTGTAGTTGAAATCGAATCCATTAATCCTTTTTTAAGAGCTCAATGTTTATTAAAGTTATTAAGAAGTTAGTAATGGGGAAAACATGCAAGTTTTGTAAATAAAAGTTATTTTCGATGACCTATTTAAGGAAAATATTGAATTTTGTAAAAAAAAAATCATTCAGAATTTGCATCATATTCCATATATTTAAGCGTCAAAGTAGATATTATTAAGAATTTAGTTTCCCAATAGAAAGTAGAGCCATTTGGTCTACAATATTAGAAAATTACCCAGTAGCAGTTACACCAAACAAACAACATTATCAAAACATATCATAATTCCAAACAAACCAATTGATATCTCTTGCCCTTAAATATCATAAAACAGACCCCAACATAAATACAGTAGTAGTTCAAACAATTTGACAGGTAAACAAATACAAAAAAATAAATATTAAACAAAAACAATCATAAAAAAACCTCAAATGAAAGTATTCGAGAGGGCCTCCCTCTTCGAATCGTATTCAAATAAATCATAAATACTCTAAACAGCAGTACACCTCGACCCTAACGCTATCTCACTCTGGTAAAAAAACGTTAAATAAATATATAAAGAAATTCTTAGTAGAACAATAACCAACCAATTTAATCTTTGATTCAGAATTTATTTTCAGATAAGCGTTTTGTTTTAGTAGGAATATTATACATTTTAGCACAAAAAAAAATATATATATATAAACCTGATAACATCATATGTTTGTATAACAGCAACAACAACTATATTAATAATAATAATGTTAAACGTCAACTAAATATTAAAAGAAGTAAAGACATTGTAGCGGTTTTAAATGCCTGTGCTAGTTCTAGTTCTGTTTCTAGGTCTGTTCTAGTTCTGTTCTAGTTCTGTTCTAGTTCTGTTCTAGTTCTGTTCTAGTTCTATTCTAGTTCTATTCTAGTTCTGTTCTAGTTCTGTTCTAGTTCTGTTCTAGTTCTGTTCTAGTTCTGTTCTAGTTCTATTCTAGTTCTGGTTCTAGTTCTGTTCTAGTTTCTGTTCTAGTTCTGTTCTAGTTCTGTTCTAGTTCTGTTCTAGTTCTGTTCTAGTTCTGTTCTAGTTCTGTTCTAGTTCTGTTCTAGTTCTGTTCTAGTTCTGTTCTAGTTCTGTTCTAGTTCTGTTCTAGTTCTGTTCTAGTTCTGTTCTAGTTCTGTTCTAGTTCTGTTCTAGTTCTGTTCTAGTTCTGTTCTGTTCTAGTTCTGTTCTATTTCTAGTTCTGTTCTAGTTTGTAGTTCTGTTCTAGTTCTGTTCTAGTTCTGTTCTAGTTCTGTTCTAGTTCTGTTCTAGTTCTGTTCTAGTTGTTCTAGTTCTGTTCTAGTTCTGTTCTAGTTCGTTCTAGTTCTGTTCTAGTTCTGTTCTAGTTCTGTTCTAGTTCTGTTCTAGTTCTGTTCTAGTTCTGTTCTAGTTCTGTTCTAGTTCTGTTCTAGTTGTCTGTTCTAGTTCTGTTCTAGTTCTGTTCTAGTTCTGTTCTAGTTCTGTTCTAGTTCTGTTCTAGTTCTGTTCTAGTTCTGTTCTAGTTCTGTTCTAGTTCTGTTCTAGTTCTGTTCTAGTTCTGTTCTAGTTCTGTTCTAGTTCTGTTCTAGTTCTGTTCTAGTTCAGTTTTAGTTCAGTTCTAGTTCAGTTCTAGTTCAGTTCTAGTTCAGTTCTACTACAGTTCTAGTTCAGTTCTAGTTCAGTATTAGTTCAGTTCTAGTTCAGTTCTAGTTCAGTTCTAGTTCAGTTCTAGTTCAGTTCTAGTTCAGTTCTAGTTCAGTTCTAGTTCAGTTCTAGTTCAGTTCTAGTTCAGTTCTAGTTCAGTTCTAGTTCAGTTCTAGTTCAGTTCTAGTTCAGTTCTACCACAGTTCTAGTTCAGTTCTAGTTCAGTATTAGTTTAGTTTTACTGAACTAGAACTTCCGATCCAGTTTCTTTCCATTTTCTGAGCTACATATTTTGTTATTTTAGCATTTTTTCATGCCTTTGCATTTGTCAACACCTTTTTTAATACTGGTATTAGCCTGATCATATTAACATTATATTTCTACTTAATATAAATACTAT